GGCTTTCGTGAACAGGTGGTAGACGAAGCGGAAGACTGGATAATTTCACGCTGCACCCACTTAGGTACATGTTCCCTTACTCTGGAATTCAACATTCTCTCGGTACGGCCTATGTAGCGTGACTCGCAGCTACAAGTGAATTGGTAAATGCAGTGTGAAATGGCGCCGAAAGCTTGTCTTTCCTTCGTTGGGGGAACAGGCACTTTGTCGGTTCGGTTAATAAGCACAGCTTCAGCAGCGAAATAAGTCCTGTGAACAGCGGAAATTAATCGCTTGGTTGTCCTCATGGTGGCAAGATCACCTTTAAACGGTAGTTCTATAAATATCTTCTTTTTGGCCACAGTGGGGACTTTTTCTCTCGCTACTCTCGTCTGGCTATGTTTTACGATAAACCGGCGAGGATAACCGTTTTTTAAGAGCGTATTAGTCAACAGCTCCTGTTCCTCTTCCAGGCAATCGGGGCTGCATATTCTTCTTGCGCGATTGAACAAGGTCTTGACTAGTGTCCGCTTGTACCGCATTGAAATGAAGCTGGTAAAATGCAGGTACTGTCCGGACCATGTCGATTTTCGATAAACAGATCGTTTGATGAAACCGTTTTCTCTACGACTAATCAGTACGTCCAAAAATGGGAGACAGTTGTTACATTCTAATTCACTGGTTACTATCAAATTGGTATGTACACTGTTAAAATGTTCGACAAGACGTGCAATCTCTGTTGTTGCTGACGAGAACACTAAGATGTCGTCCACATAGCGTTTGTAGTAGGAAAGGCGGGAAATTTCTGCACTCAGCTTTGTCTCCACCATGGACATAAAGAAATCCGCTAATACGGGACCCAATGGACTCCCCATTGCTACACCATCTATCTGGCGGTATGGTGTGTTACGGAAGTTGAAACTGATATTTTCAGTGCAAAGTAACAGGCTGTCTTTCAACAGCTCAGTTGGTATTGGGAGAGATAAGCTGGAATGTTCCGCCAACTCACACACATACTCAATAGTCTCATGTAGTGGAACATTTGAACAATGATTGCACATCTAATGAACACATGACTATATCTGACAAGTCTATGCTGTCAAGAGTTTCTATGAGTTCAAAGGAGTCCTTGATACTGTGTGGAATAACATGCTTCTTTAACGGTGCAAGAATGTCCACAAGCCAGCGAGCAAGCTTATGTTGCGGGGTATTTACCATTGATAGAATTGGTCTGAGGGGTGTACCACTCTTATGAGTCTTCGGTAACCCGTACATTTGCGGCGTGTTGGACCCACTTGGTTTTAGGCTATTATACGTTCTCTCATCGATCGTTCGATGTGCAAGAAGTATTTTTAAGTGATTTGTGATGCGACTTTCTACGTCGCAAATATCGTCCACTCTTTTGAGACGTCTAAATTTCCTGTTGTCATTAAGTATAACCTGCATCTTTTGCACGTAATCCGCCGTGTTCATAACAACGGCTCCGGAGCCTTTGTCCGGTCTAAGTACCAGTACGTCTTTGGTCTTCAGCTCTCGAAGTGCATGAATATGACGTTTTGTAAGTGCACATCCTTCATTCACTGGGGTCAACATGAACTCATGAGCAATATCAGCTAATTTGTTTTTAAACCAGCTATGTTTATCTGCACTGTCCGGCTGGAGGTCTGTTAACTGTTAACTTAGACCGGACAAAGGCTCCGGAGCCGTTGTTATGAACACGGCAGATTACGTGCAAAAGATGCAGGTTATACTTAATGACAACAGGAAATTTAGACGTCTCAAAAGAGTGGACGATATTTGCGACGTAGAAAGTCGCATCACAAATCACTTAAAAATACTTCTTGCACATCGAACGATCGATGAGAGAACGTATAATAGCCTAAAACCAAGTGGGTCCACCACGCCGCAAATGTACGGGTTACCGAAGACTCATAAGAGTGGTACACCCCTCAGACCAATTCTATCAATGGTAAATACCCCGCAACATAAGCTTGCTCGCTGGCTTGTGGACATTCTTGCACCGTTAAAGAAGCATGTTATTCCACACAGTATCAAGGACTCCTTTGAACTCATAGAAACTCTTGACAGCATAGACTTGTCAGATATAGTCATGTGTTCATTAGATGTGCAATCATTGTTCACAAATGTTCCACTACATGAGACTATTGAGTATGTGTGTGAGTTGGCGGAACATTCCAGCTTATCTCTCCCAATACCAACTGAGCTGTTGAAAGACAGCCTGTTACTTTGCACTGAAAATATCAGTTTCAACTTCCGTAACACACCATACCGCCAGATAGATGGTGTAGCAATGGGGAGTCCATTGGGTCCCGTATTAGCGGATTTCTTTATGTCCATGGTAGAGACAAAGCTGAGTGCAGAAATTTCCCGCCTTTCCTACTACAAACGCTATGTGGACGACATCTTAGTGTTCTCGTCATCAACAACAGAGATTGCACGTCTTGTCGAACATTTTAACAGTGTACATACCAATTTGAGAGTAACCAGTGAATTAGAATGTAACAACTGTCTCCCATTTTTGGACGTACTGATTAGTCGTAGAGAAAACGGTTTCATCAAACGATCTGTTTATCGAAAATCGACATGGTCCGGACAGTACCTGCATTTTACCAGCTTCACTCCAATGCGGTACAAGCGGACACTAGTCAAGACCTTGTTCAATCGCGCAAGAAGAATATGCAGCCCCGATTGCCTGGAAGAGGAACAGGAGCTGTTGACTAATACGCTCTTAAAAAACGGTTATCCTCGCCGGTTTATCGTAAAACATAGCCAGACGAGAGTAGCGAGAGAAAAAGTCCCCACTGTGGCCAAAAAGAAGATCTTTATAGAACTACCGTTTAAAGGTGATCTTGCCACCATGAGGACAACCAAGCGATTAATTTCCGCTGTTCACAGGACTTATTTCGCTGCTGAAGCTGTGCTTATTAACCGAACCAACAAAGTGCCTGTTCCCCCAACGAAGGAAAGACAAGCTTTCGGCGCCATTTCACACTGCATTTACCAATTCACTTGTAGCTGCGAGTCGCGCTACATAGGCCGTACCGAGAGAATGTTGAATTCCAGAGTAAGGGAACATGTACCTAAGTGGGTGCAGCGTGAAATTATCCAGTCTTCCGCTTCGTCTACCACCTGTTCACGAAAGCCACCTGCCTCATCCATAGGTAGACACTTATTGGCCACTTGTCATCCATTCAACCCTGACACACAGTTCACAATCTTGTTGAGACATGCTAACAGCCGCATTCTACATTTCGCCGAGGCTGTCGCGATCAGCAGGATCAAACCGGCACTCTGTGTGCAAAAACAGCTGTTTGTAAACTTAAAGCTCCCATGGACGTAGGGGTGGCATATCTGTACCCCACCCTGTCTCTAGTTTATCCGGTCACACCCTAGCTGTTGTTATATATATTTTCCTGTTATTGTATTGGCACTGACGAGACAATACGAAATGTTAACATCTGCCAGCTTTCGTCTTCTCACAGCGTTGTTTAAAATGCTCAAGGGAACTAATTTTTTCGAAGACTATTTAGTCGCTTCCACTGCTCTCATGGATAACTCACCAGCGGACACATTTTAATCCGTCAGTCCGAATAGAAGACGATGGCACGTGTGTCATTTGCGCCGGTTGCAAGTCATGTCCCATTCAGTCCCGAACCAAGCGCATGGTGTGTCACGTAAACCTAGGTCTGGAAAGCGAGACTCAAGAGTCTGGCCCACAAGACCGTCTGGAGCAGATCCAGCTGGAGATTGTGATTGACGAATTTCATTGGAACCCACCTAAGCCAGTCATTAGCAGCTTTGGATGATAAGGACAGTGAGTAAAACAGGCTTCACTAATAGTGACGCTTCGTTGTCCTGCAACCAAAATAGGTGTCCATGTTTTTGAATCAACACAGACTATGCACCTGTGGCCTCGGTTAAATTTAGCTGTGTTTTGGAAGATTTGTAGCTTGTCAAGGAAGGGCTGCGTGATTGCAACTGGTACTAGAATGCCAGTGTGCCAAAAGTAATACGTCGTCAAGACCAACTGGGGGCAGTGAGCTTATATTCCGTAAACCGACAGCTAATCCGGCGTGTCGAGAAGGGAGAGTCAGCGGACCCTTCCCAACATCATATGGGGAGGATGTTAAGCCTGAACTCATCTGATTTCCAACCATTAGCCTACGTAGAATTAACAGACCTGAAGGTAAGCAGAAACATTTATCTTGTTTATATCAGTAGATTACGGGGCACACAAACCACTGATCCATTAGGACGCTCAGTTTCGTTGCCATGGTTAATTCGTATATGGAATATGCACTTGTACTGTTACATATGATGAATGTTGTCCGAAGTAATAATGGACAGGTAAGGCAGTGCATCAGCATTTCAACTTCTTACCAAATCGCATGAGTTTTCTGGATGAGTTGAAGTGTAACATTGGCTGCGTAACACATTTGTCGCTGGAGCACACTCTATACATTTGCTCAGCCAATTGAATCCGTAACGCTTTCAAATTCCTCCTTAGAGAAATCAGCTTCCTCAATAAATCTTTCAAGATGGTCCTTAACGCTTTCAAGTTGCATCCAGCGGGCACGAACGCCCCTAAATGCTGTGGTCCATTAAGTGACCAAACGCAAATCAGGCAAAAACATCTCCTCTGTGTGCCCATTTTTAATGTCTACTTATTTGTGCTTGGTCACTCAACAAACAGCACATATTTTTAGGTGTGTTTGCGCCCTTTCGATGAGACTTGAAAACTTTATGAACCATCTTAAGAGATCCAAGGAGGAACATGATTTCCTTAGGGAGAAATTTGAAAGCGCTGTGGATTCAATTAACAGAAAAGGTCTAGTTGTTTTCATTGATCATTCCTTGCCAGGTGCGTCTTGTGAAAACCGAAAATAAACTATCATTATTACTGGATGTATAAATGTAAAAAAAACGGTGTTATGAGGTTATAGGTTCTTGCGGTACGCGACAGTTCTGGAAACCAACTTGATGGTTTCTTACGCACTTACCATGTCTTCGTGTATGTGTTTTTTGTATAGGGCAACGACATTGCTTTTCAGGGTTTTGGGATCTTGAATCGCTCCAACGCAGTTGAACAAATCTGTCTTGAAGCGGCGCACCAAAGCTTCCACATCACGAGTAGCTTGGCGCTCCTGTATGAGCTCTTTTTCAACTGATTTGTACTTTTGTCGTAGCTCGGCGATGTTGATCTCTAATTGATTGTTCTGTTTGTGGAATCGCTGTAGTTCTGATTCCATCTACGTGAAATCCGACATAAGATAGAATTGAGTTGTCGCTCATTGGTTTCTCCTAGGTTGTTCATTCGAGGGTATGCTCTTTCCGAAATGAATGCATGCATAATATGCATGAAACGATGCGATAACATTAGTCAGCCTTTTAGGTCTATCACACCTAACTTCCAGTGGATGGTTGCAGAATATGGCAGGCAAACACTCATGTACGGCTTTTATGGAACAGTACCGTCCTCTTAAATGCTTAGGTTGATTCAAGCGAAAATGTGGGAATATCACACTAGTAGAAACTGAACACTACTTTATTACTTCAAGGTAGTGAATAAAAAGGACGGAGTGCATATCAACACTGAGTTCATAGCTTACTGGTCACCCTCAGTGAGAGTCTCCTACGAGGGGAAAGAACCAATTTTGCTAATTCTGCAGTGAGTCAATGACTTTCCACGAGGGGATAATACTGTCTTAGCAGACAGGAATCCGGACAAACCTCCGTGTTTCTCATTCCATTTAGCTCGCTAGTGATGCCAGCCATTGTCCTTTTTTTATAAAACCGAATTTACAGAGGAGTAGTAGGGAGAGTTGAAGGAGGGAATTGAACATCAACCTAAAACCGAGTTTTTTGATCAGTAGCTTTTTGGTCTGCATTTCATCAGTTCAAAAGGGTCGCGCAATAGCTGTTCCTACAAATCCGACACAAAGTGTGTTCGAGTAATGCACCGACCGTCTTCATATCTACAAATTCATTTCGTCATATTCTTTCGGCCAAAATTATTTATTTTCTCGGGATTAATGAGTCCGTTTAATCTTCATATATAAGTGTCTTGCTAAACTGTCCCCATTGAGTTAGGCAACAGGGCCTTAGGTGTATCGAATAGGAGTCACAAGTGCCCCGAATTCCGTCCGTCGCATTTACGCTCAGCACGGAATCAACGCCACATCATATATCAACCTGAATGAAGGAAGGCCAATTTGAAACAAATAAACGACGGCTGGTGCTTTAAATGGAAAATCTATTGTGCATTTTTTACGCACCATTGATTGGTGAAACTGCGGTTCATTTACGCGCTTGCTCAAAGCGGCCGGTGGCCGAGTGGTCTGCACGTTTGGTTTGAAACCACAAGGTCACCGGTTCGAATCCGCGAAGGGGTGGGCGTCCTCGCGGTATACTCAGCCTGCGCGCGACTGGTGGTGGTCGCGCGGCAGCGAAGCGCTGTTACGGCGTACAGCTGACACATTATTTATTCTATTATTCAAAGCGGTACTTGGCCATTTCAGTCGAGTGTGAAAACTGCAAAAGACAACAAACTTGCAAGCGATGGATACCAGGACATATGTGTAGGTTTAATGTGGAAAATGGAAGAAGGAAGTGACTATGTATGCAGCCCGTCGCGTGGTGCCAAATCGATTGCTTCCATACACACAGTGAGGAAATTGAGACATGGAACAAAACTAATGAAAAAATCTAGGCAGACAACTAACCTCCTGAATCTGTTCCTTATAGTTTTTGATATCGTTTTCTCGTGGCTCGATTTGTTTCTTCAATTCCTTAATCTTGTAATCTAAAACAAACTTGAACTTTTCCAGTTCTTGGTTCTTCTTCTTCAGGTCGTAGATTCGTTTTTCCTTAAGAAATGCATATGCATCGGGGTGACGGTGTACTGGCATGGAAGTATAAACGAGATGAACAGCGACGGACAACGTTTCATTTACAGAGCATTCCACACGTAGACCGCACCAGGCAAACCTGACAAGTTACCACGACAATTTCGCATCACATTGAGTTCCGCTAGAAAGCCGAATCTAGGTTAACAGAGGCGTTAGACACTTAGCATCTGTTACGTTTCTCTTTTGTTCAGCCAAAAAAGCTAATAAATGCTGCCATCACCAGCGACCAACAAGTGGTTACAAGAATCTTTAACGGTTCTCTTGCTAATAATCTTGAGTACAGGATACCAAAACACATAATCTGATGGGTCGCATTGGAATTGTGCATCCGTCTGTAGTCTGACTTTTTCTGTACCTAAACCGCGATACAATATTTGTCCCTTGGTGAGCAGCTGAAGTCCAGTAGGATATATTTTGTCGAAGGCGCTTAAGCCCCTATGTGTCAGCAATTGCCGACTTAATTCTTTCTAACGAATCCTCAAAGGAAAGGAAACATCCGGATGTTTAGTTTAAACAGAACACTCAAGTAAGCACCATGGAAATACTACTCATAGTCCAAGAGCACAATCGGCTGCTAGACTCAAGCTTGTGACATGGTAGCTCACAAGATACCATCGGCTGAAAGTTGGTAACAAAGGTTGTGTCAGGGAACAAATAATGGTGTCTATAAAGATAAAGAAAGTTGTACCCGAGCACAGATAAAAGCTAACAATATCTACAGAAAGTTAGATTAATTCGGAAACTGGCTTCGATCCAGTGCATAAATAGGAGAGTCCAACTAAGGTTTATGCTTCACTGTGGTATCAATAAAAATCGCTAAGCCAGGCCTCGGTTCTTGCACGTGAAATCTTTGAATACGTGGTCATGGCTTGGTGAAGACAGAGTGGTATAGCGCCCTTGAGTTTCAAGACAACAACGATTGATGGCGTCAAAGTCGTTTGGTGAAGGACCTCTCAGCATCTGGTGCAACTATACTTATGCCGAAAAAGCCCAAAGACACGCCGAATATCTTAGAATCAATTCAAGCAGTTGATTGCACCGACAAGACTAACATTCTAGTGCTCTTTGCTAAGGGCCTTCAAAGAATGTTCAGGTATTATTGCTGTCGACCAAAGTGCTACGGAGAAAGGATTCTGGTAGTAATTGACACGCGGAACGATTTCGGTTAGTAAAATATAGCGGCAACGATAGTAGGGAGATTGAACTTGTTCCTGGAATTTGCTTTATAGAACTTTGTATAAAATAAACCCCATGTACGGTGAAGGTTGCCACGGTAACCCGTGTGAACGGGCACTACACCAAATGCGAAACGGACCATGCGCTAGCGGCAGTTTTCATTTACAGTACGCAATTGCAGGAGGTGGTTAATTAATTTACTTGTGGCTTGCATAAGGCGGACTGATTCAGGCCCTACTCATGGACGATTACCATGGGATTCCGTACACAGCAATTACATAAACACGCTGTACTCGTTGAACGGGTTTCCGTAAACATCACAACTGTGTGATGTGTTTGATCCTTAGTACTACTTAACCACTGCACTTCACGGAATGAATCATCCTTTCTCACCGCCCCATTCTCCTGGTTAGATAATTGATTAGGAAAGCTAAACTTCATGTCTAATGCACTGCGTTAGCTGCACTTCCTCAGTTCCTGCCCACGGTAATTGGACGTCCATGTTTCATGTTTACGCAGTATGGACAACGCTCAATTCCATAACGGCCTGTTAGTATGTTGTCCGTCACCTCATGCAGCACTACAGCTGCCATTGTATTTGAGGTCAGTGCAGTTCTTGAGGTCGGTCGCGCATGAGAGTATCGTATTCCGCAGACACAAACCGAGCGTGTGCGTTGTGTGTGAGCCTATTCACATGTTGCGTCAAAATGTAACAACCATGAAGGTAGCGTTGGCGAATTGATAATGGAAACATGTAAGATCACCGACAATGCTATTGTTGGCACCAAACATGTACAGTGTTTGGTACACTGACACCAGATTAAACCTATACGCGATTGAAACATTTGAAGTAATGAGGTGAAGTCCTAGAGTGCTTGTGGGCCTGATTTCAGTGAACAGGGAACGGAATTGACAGTCCAGCAGGCGATCAGCAATCCGGGTGATGGGGTGGTCACCTTAGTTCGGCCGACACCTAGGGGTGATCTGGACAGTATACGCGCGCTTAGTGAAGGTAACCGTCAAATGTGCTCCGCGCCACGCAGCTTTCTGCAGAATGCGCTTGTTGGAGAGAATTGGGTAAAGCTCACGGTTATTTTGACTGTAGATTGTAGTGTTGGTAAAAAAAACCTTGTGTTGGCACTTCTACAATTGGAGGCTGAAGAGAGACAAATTGTGTGGATTGATGGAACAAAGTGCAGCCAAATTTTCACGCGCACCAGGAGACGTTCAATGCGTGGTACCTGAAGCAATATGCACGACTTCCCAACGACATCACTTGTGCTTAAACGCCATCGTCTATCCTTGAATGTCGGCATAATGGTTTCGGGATGCATAGAAGTGACAACACCAATTCACTTCATAGAAAATCATGTTGGTGAACTATAAGTGAGTTGCAAGTCAGTGAACTGCAGTGCAGGAGCGTTATAGCCCCTCACGGCGTATAAGCAGTAAGACACAGGAGGCTGCCTGAATGGTACGGTTCCTCTTGGAATATGTGTTCCAGATCCGTATGCCATGGTGCGTTACCACAGATGAGGATGCAAATGTCGATAATAATCAAATTATTAGTATCCAGATTTTGACTCAACCACCGCGCGCATTTTTCCTTGTTGTAACATGATCCCATACTCTATAAGACTGTTTGTCGTTATCGCTCCAATAAGATTAAGATTCTGTCAGAGTGTTAGTCACTTCACACTGCATACCGGTACCACGCATTGAACGTCTCCTGGTGCGCGTGAAAATTTGGATGCACTTTGTTCCATCAATCCACACAATTTGTCTCTCTTCAGCCTCCAATTGTAGAAGTGCCAACACAAGATTGTTTTTATCAATACTACAATCTACAGTCAAAATAACCATGAGATTTACCCAATCCTCCCAACAAGCGCATTCGGCAGAAAGCTGCATGGCGCGGAGCACATTTGATGGTTACGTTCACTAAGCGCGTGTATACTGTCCAGATCACCCCTACGTGTCGGCCGAACTAAGGTGACCACCCCATCATCCGGATTGCTGATCACTTGCTGGACTGTCAATTCCGTTCCCTGTTCACTGAAATCAGGCCCACAAGCACTCTAGGATTTCACCTCATTACTTCAAATGTTTCAATCGCGTATAGGTTTAATCTGGTGTCAGTGTACCAAACACTGTACATGTTTGGTGCCAACAATAGCATTGTCGGTGATCTTACATGTTTCCATTATCAATTCGCCAACGCTACCTTCATGGTTGTTACATTTTGACTCAACACGTGAATAGGCTCACACACAACGCACACGCTCGGTTTGTGTCTGCGGAATACGATACTCTCATGCGCGACCGACCTCAAGAACTGCACTGACCTCAAATACAATGGCAGCTGTAGTGCTGCATGAGGTGACAGACAACATACTAACAGGCCGTTATGGAATTGAGCGTTGTCCATACTGCGTAAACATGAAACATGGACGTCCAATTACCGTGGGCAGGAACTGAGGAAGTGCAGCTAACGCAGTGCATTAGACATAAAGTTTAGCTTTCCTAACCAACTATCTAATCAGGAGGATGGGGCGGTGAGAAAGGATGATTCATTCCGTGAAGAGCAGTGGTTAAGTACTACTAAGGATCAAACACATCAGACAGTTGCGATGTTTACGAAAACCCGTTCAACGAGTTCAGCGTGCTTCTGTAATTGCTGTGTACGTAATCCCATGGCAATCGTCCTTGAGTACTGCCAGAATCAGCCTGCCTTATGCAAGTCACAAGTCAATTAATTAACCGACTCCTGCAATTGCGTACTGTAAATGAAAACTGCCGCTAGCGCATGGTCCGTTTCGCATTTGGTGTAGTGCCCGCTCACACGGGTTACCGTAGCAAACTTCACCGTACATGAGGTTTACTTTATCCAAAGTTCTATAAAGCAAATTCCAGGAACAAGTTCAATCTCCCTACTATCGTTGCCGCTATCTTTTACTGACCGAAAACGTTGCGGGTGTCAATTACCTTAGCTTACTTCAGCAACTTTATCCCAACTGAAATGAATTCTGCACTTACGGCTCCCAATAATCCCCATACCACTGGGAATGTTCATTCAAACACGCCATGTCAAAGCAAGTAGTATCTCAGAAGATGAATTCACCCAGCTGTGCGAAGCAATGTAGTGTGTCGAAACAGCCTAGATGGTTTCCGAGATGATTGGTAAACTGTCTGAGCTACAGACCGAGGTGCTCATACTTAAAGCAACACGTCTCATTTTCCAGAGGCTGAAACAATACAAGATAAAGGCGTTTCCTAATCACCATCCGCCGTAAATATAGCATACTGTTAAAGTAATAGTATTGTCGCTTAAATGCATCAAAGTCTATTCAGATTGCGAAAATCCCATCATCTTCAATGTTCCAGACACAGATCTATTGATATCTGTGATGCGTACCTAAATGAAATCTTGCACTCTAACGGGGATTCGCTATTGCTTGACATTACTCCACCATGGGTCTCAGAAGCATATTTGTCGATCTGCGTTTAAATCCAACAGTCCATGTGATCAGTGGTGTGACAAATACTTTCGCTGTCCTAGGGGGTGGTAAAATTATCACTTACTGAGGACAGCATAGGCGCGTGAAGACTAAACGATGGGTAAAGACCACACTAGTTTTCGATGAAAACTAATATGCGCTTGGGGCCTTGAGGTGAATGTGTTGAAAATGACCACTATTGGAACAAATAAGAGGATCACTGAAGAACATTTTGCACAAGTGTGACACATGGCGCAAATGTGTTGTTGATCATGCAGAGTAACATTAAAATATTCAACCCACGGCTTATCCGGATAGTTTGTCTTTTATATTTGGTATCTAACATACGGCTCCGTGTCACGTGTCGCACGGGGCGGATCGCCTCCCCGCTCCCATACTGCGCCTCTGCAAACGAAACAACTAAATGTACTCAAAGCGCATTAGCCATCTCTTCGTCTACAGAATGCAAACCCCCGTCAGTA